GCAAGGTGGGAGTATGATCAGACATGTACCATGATCTGAAACCTATTAAAATTCATGAGAATTTTCCACTTTTTCAATCAACTTCAATTTGCTTTGTATATCTGCATCAGTGAAAAAAAGAAAAAAAAACAATTACACTAAAGATAAGCTGTATCAGGGATGTCAAACATGTGGCCCACGGATCATGGGTCACTGTCTCCACATGCCATATGGGTAGGGTGACCATTAGTCCCAGATTGACTGGGACAGTCCCTGATTTCAGAGGCTAGTCCTGTCCCAAAGGTGAAAATTAATATGAGTGTCCCCAGCACCTACCTTTGGCTTGGTGGCTGAGCAGTAGAAACTGAAATAGGAAGTCCTAACACTAACTGTTACTTCACAGGTGATTGTTAACACCTGTGAAGTAAAGAACAATGGCTCATTAAGGGACCATTGACTCCCTACAGCAGTGGAGGGGAAGTGGCAGGGGCAGGCAGCATTTTGGATTTCACATTGTCCCATAAAGTTACCCTATGCATGGGGCATACAGCAGAGCGTCAGTCCAGGGCATGGATTACATGCATCGCCACGCCAGACCAGTCCTGTGCACTGGCTCTGGTCTGGAATGGGCCCCAGGACACCTCTGCACACTGGAGTCAGTGCATGGGGACAGTCTCATCACCAGTTACCACACACAGCCTACACCTTGGATAGCCTGCACTGTATGCAGCACTAGATCCAGCCTGCACATCACATGTACTGCAAGCCCTGGAACAGGGCTGGCTCATGTTGCATGCAGTATGTAAACTGGACCGTGTGCTATGGGCATTGCTAATGGTCCCGATCCAACCTGCAAACCTGTCCAGTGACTCATCCAGGAGATTGAGTTTGACACCCCTGAGCTATATCCTATATCCAAGTTATGCCTGGTTAAAATACAATTTATGTCAGCTTCCTCTTCAACCTACCATTCAAGGTCCAGTGAAAGTAGACACATGAATCTCTTTTGAAAAAAAACAAACACATAAAACAGAACACTTTTCATAATCATCACTAAGGCAGATGACTGTAATGTGTCTTTCCATTCTATCTATTACAATGCAGAGCTTAACCTACTACAGCAAAGGAACTCCAATAGCAGTAAATGTTTGCATATGACATTGGATGTTATAGTAAACTTTCACATGCGGAAGGCAGAAGATTCAAAGCATGAATGTTTTAAATATTTTGTCTTACTACATTTTGTGCAATTTTTAATGCATATATTTGTAGGCTTTGAGTAACTTGCACATGCACCAATAAAGTCACTTAATGGAAAGGGGGGAAAAAGGCTTTTGGATGCACAAACTGCATTTTACCACACTTTCAAAAACATGTCCCAGAGATTTTGAATGGACAAAAGAGAAGGCAGGAACTACTAACAGGTGTGCATCTTCAACTGCAACCATAGTATTTGACATTTATCTCTCTATATATATATGAGTCAATTCTAATGGCCCAGCAGCAAAAGTATGCTCAAGCCAGCATACTTTGACTTGAACACACTGTGGGAACTCTCTGGGATCATGACCAAGATGAAGATTTCTGGACATGAAGTAGAATAAGGTGCTGCTTACCCAACCACATTTGACCAAATTTAGGGAAACACTGAGGGTTGCTGCCCAAGTAACACAGTATTTCAAACTTGCAGCTGAGGAAGACTATCACAAATTTCCCTACAGCCTTACTGATTACAGTTGCAGGCAAAGTAAAAACCTACAGGTTTATGGACAAAAGTTAAAATGAACGTGAGAAGACTGACGTGTAAAACCCCAATATCCTTCTGCTTGGGCCTGGAACTCTGTTCCCCAACAGATCAATGACGGGATAAATAAGCCACAGGGAATGCCAGAAACTAATACATGATTATAGGAAAGGATCTGGAGGGCAGAAAATAGATTTTTAAACAGTGTACAGATTATAGATTATGAGAGCAGGTGGACAATCTCACCTAGTCCCCAAAGTCTTTTATATTTTTCCACATTGTGGAAAAATGGACTTTCCTTCTAGGAATCATTGCAAAATTTTGTTACAAGACATGAAGAAAAAAGACAAGATTAATAAAAAATAAGATAAGGAGAACCAGATTTAAGTTAAGAAGTGCGTCTCTGGTTGAGAGAAGTATATATTTTCAAAAGTGTTGCCTGTCACTTAGAAACATAAAAATGAGACGGCTCTAACAATAACATCAGCAGCTGTAAAAATACCGACTTGTCAAAGAAGAAGTTTCTAAACACCACAGCTGTTCAATTAAATGCAAAATATATTTTCCCTTTTTTTATTCTGGCCTTGAATCCAAAACACAACATTTCACATTATATTTTTGTGCTGGCTGCCACCTTGTGGCATGTATTCAGACACACTTTGAGGATTGCTCTCTATAAAATGCACAATAAATGTAAAAACTGGAAACAAAAACCTGGGATACTACATGTCTCTCTCTAAGGCCCCTGATGGATGTTACATTTAAGATGCAATTAACTAGTCAATCATATATTAAGTAGTAACCTGGCCACAAGTTAGTTCAACTGGCATGATAAAACAAGGAAAAAGCCACCACATTACTACACAAATAGTGTGATAACTGTGTGGTTGGTTCCTATTGCACTTTCACTGAATGTGTGGCCAGAGCTCCCAGACTCTGAAGAACACCAGAGGCCCTTTCAAGACTCCTGTGGGCTCCGGTGACTGGGAATGCTGGTCAGCTGATCAGGAGTCTAAACTAAGGGAGCGCATAATGCAGTCCTGTGGCTGGAAGCCCCAACCAGCTGATCAGAGCTCCTATGCACCGTGCACTCCCCTGGCTAGGAGCCCCAGTCAGCTGAGAGGCACTTCCAGCTGCAGGAAGCACATGGAGCCTTTAGCTTCAAAGTGCTCCCCTGGCTGGGAATGCCCCTTAGCTGACTGGGGACCCCGGCAGGGGAGTGCATGGTGCTCCCAGCTCGGGAGTATATTGGAGCCAAGGGCTCTCTTGCACTCCCAGCTGGGAGCCCCAGTCAGCTCAGTGGAGCTCCCAGCCAGGGAAGCGAAGGGAGTCAAGCTTGCTACCTGCCAGTGCCAAGAGAGACTGGGGCCCTGGGCTCCCCCCGCATCAGCAATATGGCACAATGGTCTCTGATGTTCAATCCCACAACTGCACCTCCTGCCAGGCATGTGCGATTGCTGGGATCATGCATCACATCCCACTGCACCTTGAATTCAACACCAGTCAGTGGCTTAATGCTTATTGTTGTTTGAAACAGAGAGGTACCCAGAGACCCAAAGTAAAATCAAGATCCAAGAACTATTTATCCATAGACTAAGAAATATTTTCAGCTGGGTTTGTTACTTGAATGTTCCAAATTATTTAGAAAAAGGAATTTGACTTTATTGCAATTGTCAAGTCCTTGCTAACAGTTCTAAAAAAAATTTAAGAATATGTTCCAGATTTCCAAGAGATCATTTCATAAAGTCTCCTATACTCACGGACATCAGTAAATGCTATTCCATACCACTCAGTGCCAGGAAGAGGATCCTGCTTCTCTTTGCCCAAATAATAGATGCTTTCATGAAATTCACTAGCTCACAAGCTATTTCATGTAAGCAGTTCTATTGCCATGACAGAGAAACAGGTTACTTTTTTGCATCAAGGGACATGGAAAAGAGTTATATTTTAAGTGTATCAGTAAACAGAACTGGTTTTAAATTGTGTGTGAGAGAGTGTATGCACACACATATATAGGAACACAGTATTCAGCCTAGGATCTCAAAACATTGAAAAGCAGTCCTATATTACAATAGGTCCCTTCTAGTCTCAATGAGCTACAGCTTTTGAATAAGTAATAGAGGAAGATAAATCATCTGAACTTTGTGATGATCCCTGCTGTGAGTCTGGCCATTGGTTGTCTTAGAGGTAACACTGCCACCCATCACTATTACAGTAAAAGCTTTGTTATCCGGCACCCATGGGGAATGCAGCCCAAACAGGCATCTTGGGCAGGCCCTGTGGGCCCCGAGGGACAGGGAGGGGGGACCCGCACAGCCTGCTATGCCCCCGGGCTGTGGGGGCTTGGCAGTGCAGACTGCTTTCCCTTGGGCCATGAGGGCTCTGCGAAACTGGAAGTGCCACAGTAGGCACTTCTGGTTTCACTTTTCCCTTATAAGCCGGCATGCTGGTTAACAGAGCGTGTCGGCTTGTAAGGTGCCGGTTAACACAGCTTTAGCTGTATACTGAAGTGGCACCCAAATAAAACAGGTTGACAGAAGAGCCTTTGTGTACTTCATGGAATGTGTGGCTTCTCTCCCCTTTGGGATTACAACAAGCTCTGTTGAGGGGATAGTTTTCCTTCTGTACTATTTCCTAAAAAAGATTAGATTTAATCTCCTCTAGAAGTTCTTTGCAAAGCCATATCCTGCTAGCTTTGCTCCTAACCCCAGATATTCTTCTCAGCCCTGCTCTTCAACCAGGAAGTAAAAGCAGATTTTGAGGGAAAGGCTGAACTCAAATCATCCTCAAATTTATTTGCTCTCTTAACACTATGCAGTATATTAATGATCAAAAGGATTTGAATATTTGAAATTTTGTCCTATAAAGATTTTGTCTTATACACCAATTTCTTCAAATGCTAAAATTATTACACAATTAAAATGGAAATCATGAACAGTTACCATATTACTTTTTAAAGGTTTCATCATATAAAGGGACCAAAAGTCGCTAGCAGAACTGAAGTGACAGATGCTAGAACTCCAATAAGTGGTTTATCATTGACTTCTTTTACAGTACCTAAGAAATTATACCATAAAATACCCCACTGAAATCTTTGGTGAAGCACAGAGAGGCTTATGAACTGTAACAATCTCTACTAGTTTCAAAATTTATTGCAACTTCAAGACAGAACTGAAGCATTACAGTTGTGAATGAACCTGAACCTTCAAAGCGTGGTTTAGTTCCTTTCCTAAATTGTAAGAATTGTGTTAACAATGTTAGAAAAGAAGATAGTTACCTTGCTCTGAAGTTGCTGCGTTTTCCACTGGCAGCTCATAACCATGGCTCCTTTTCTCTGAAGTAGACACTGAAGAGAGGCTGCCAGAGGTGCTGCAGTTCCAACCAGTAGCACCTTCTTTCCATCTATAGTTCTATCTGCTTGATAACATACAAACCATTGGTCATTTGCACGGTCTGCAACAATAAGACATTTACTGCCAAACTCCACTGGTGCAGGGAGCTCAACTATAGACATTCATTTAAATTGACTTCTGACTTTTTTCCTTACTATGTAACAAGGTTTGCAGAAGCCAGAACTCAATATAGTACCTTCAAGCTCCAGCAGATTTACAGTAAATTTGAAGAGGCCAAACACTACAGATGAGATAACAAACACGTGTGGGTTTCAAGTGACTCATAAGTGACTGTCCAATTCTGTGAACAGTGTGCATACATTTTTGGAACAAAGGAAATATGATTTTGCACATATCCCTTAATTTATTCATTTATCCATGATAAGTGTTTCACCACATCTTATTTAAAATCTACCTATCAGTAAAAAAATCTTGTCCCCACAATTCTGAAGCACAATAGGACCTGGTCTAGTTCTGAATGAACATATTAATTGTTTTAAGCTAACACTGTCTTTCACAAAAGATAGAGTTAGCTCAAACCTATTTAATGCAAAACTCATTTCAGCAAAAAAGAGCCGTTCATTGAAACCTGATAGGTAAAGCTTGTTTTGTCTGAGCTGATGCTTTATCCAAAACCCATCTTTGATCTCCTAAATGGAATCTGTACTGAAACCAATTTGTTTTTATGAAAGTTTGATATCAAAGGAGACCTTAGTGTGATGGAACTCGTTTGCAGCAGCTTTCCTTAGTCCCTGTCACCATGTCAGTACTATTAAGGTCTATAGACAAAACTACTTTTTCTGGAAGTACTAAATTTAGGTCTTGTTCAGTCACATGAAAGACAGAATGTCCTACCTATGTTTTCAAGAAGCTCTATCACAGCACTGGCAGTGGGATAAGGTAAACAGTCATAAACATCTCCATACAGCAGTTGTCCTAAGTTTACAGCTGATACTCTGTAGAGGAAAAACATGGAAACAAACAGAAATTATGCAAGATGGTTATTTTAAATAAAGTTTAAAATAAATAAAGTCTCACCTTTCACCTACATTAAAAGAAAGATTTCCTGGATAAAAGGACTAAGAATAACTCACAATTCATTTCTAAAGCATTGCACCCTTTGACTCTGCAATTCAAATGGACAAACACAGAATATTGAGAAAGATTTAGAAAAAGGAAAGGGACAGCAGGACTAAAAAGAAACAAACTGAAGGAAGAAACATCATCTATGACTTTTTAGAAGGAAGGAAGGGGCAATCCCTGATGAAAGACAAGTGAAAACATCAGGGTTCAACAGATTTCAGAGGAGACTGAGTATATTTAAACACACAGAAAGAATGTCATTCCAGGCACATGAAGTGGCACAAGGCAAGACAATGGGTACGGAGAAGCTGGCAAAAAACTGTCCAGAAGGAAGTGCTACTGTAATTCAGACAGTGGTCCAGGGATGTAAATTATACCACGAGCCCCTCTGCCTAGTGGTTACATGAGCGTGCTGTGGATTGATTGTATAGGGTACAAAGGTAGTTTAAACAACAGCAGCCCTCTTCCCAGACCTAGGGAGATACTACCTAAGAATCTCACCTTATAGCTTCTTAAGAAAATGTAGTTAATTCTTAAAGTAAGAACTGCAAAATACTGAATTTAATGAAGGGAATAAAATTGGAATTTTGTTTTGGTCCCTCAAGTTTACAATGTGTACAGATAAAGAGAGCGTTTCACAAATAAGATGACTTTGGCATTAATCTTTTCCTATATTTTTAACATTCTTTTGTCCACATTTCAATAGTACAGTGTATAGCTAAATATAGTGACTGAGGAATCCATTAGCGAAAAGCACTTGGAGGAAAATCAATTTTACAGAGCCATTAAACTTGTGTGCTAGGGTTTCATCTCACTGCTTAGCTTACCCATCCACATCCTTCTCTGGTTTCAATGCATTTAATATTTTGCTGCTGTAGGCATTTTCTGGGAGGTGAAGGGCAAGACCATGAACCGTAGGATCATCATTGAGTTTCAAGATTTCACCAACAATCTAGAAAGTTAATAAAATGCATTGGGGAACAGTATAACAAAACACAGTCAGAATCAGAATATTGGGAAGTAAAAATGGAAATGGGCTGTAGCTGTAAAATAATGACAACAACAATGATAACAATAATATATAGCAATTTTAGCTACCTAAATCCTTTTCAGAAAGAGATGCATATAGCACGTCACTCAGATTCTCAAGTCGGATATGGATACAAAACATACTGGGTAGTTAAGTACTTACATATGACACTCATGTAATCCCATATAGAACTGCATAAGGAAGAACTGGTCCCTCACACTGATGCAGTGGGAGTGAACAGACAGGCGCATGTAAAAAATAAATTCATTTGGATAGGTCAAGGAAAAGGAAGGAGAATGTACTTATGATATTTTAAAGGGCAAAGACAAAAATACAAAACTGAAAAAGCAAATTTTACTGGCCATCTCTAATGAAATTATCTAATCAAAAACACAGCCATGGAAAGCTGCTTGCAGCTGTAAAGCTTTGTGATCATATTGTAACCTTTGCTCTTTCCCTACTTATACCTCCCTATTAGTTTCTCATTCATTTCCTATACTATGTCCAAAGCTAAGCTTGCAAACTCTCTGGGGCAGAGGCCACTCTTACTCATTCTATAAAGAACCCACCATATAGTAGGAGTTTATCTTGTCTACTATAACATGGTACAGCAGACATTCACAGGAGCCCTGGGGATAGAAGCAGCCAAGCAGGCTGCACAGGGCTGCACTCCTTGCCCCCAGCACAGCACCAGTTTCCTCTATCACAGGGGCTCCGCGCTGCACCTGCAGTTCCACACTCACAGAGGGGGAGCCCTGCACTGGACTCTGTGCAGAAGAGCAAGGGGAGGGGCCTCCTTCAGTCCCACTGGAGTACGGAAACCTGCACAGCAGGAAGCAGGGGAAGTCCTATGCAGGACTTCCCCTGCTGTGAGTGCTGGAGATGCAGGCACAGGAAGCAGAACCCTGGTGATGGGGCAGGCTCTGCTCCCTCCTCCTGTGCAGCACTAGCTGGAGCCGCACCTGTGCCAGGCATGAGTACCTTGACCTCCCTGCCTGCTGCTGCTGTCAGGCAGAGGGGTCTGCATGCCATGGAGGGAGTGTGTGGGGGGTCACTATACCCCACACCCTCACACCCATACCCTGCTCAGCTGAGCTCCATGCTCCCACTGCTGCTCTGGGAAGAGGAGGAAGAGGAGAGGGAAGACTTCCCCCCAGCATGGAACAGAGCCTCTCCCTGCCAGGGGGGATGAGTGGTGGGGAAAAGTCCCCCTCTGGGGCTGGGCAGCCTCATAGAGCCCCCCTCCCCACCTCACTACAGGGGCAGAGCAGGAGAGAAAAGAGCCCTTCCCCCCAGCTCCAAACAGGACCTCCCTTCCCAGCACCATGGCAGTGGGAGAGAGGGAGGAGGGGGAAGAGTTCCCCTCCTGGGCTCTGCAGCCCTGTGTGCTGAGATTGGTCCCACTGTCAGGGAGCCACTGTGGAAGGGAGGGCATGCTCTAGCACCCCCAGACTTCTGGCTTGAGCCACTGCAGGCACATGCCTGCATTTCCTGAATAGAAAGGGAAACCCACTTGGAAACTGATTCACACTCTGCAGGTTAGACTAACCTGCAAAGATTGAATCAATTCAGGCTTGGGCTTTTTGAATGTCTGTCCCTTGTCTTGGTGTGTCTTACAAGCTGGATGACAAGGCACTGTGGGCCAGATCAGGTTGAACACCACCAAAACTACATTTGGGTGCATTCAAGTGGCTCCAGATAACTCATGATTTTCCTGGCTATAGTGTGGTTTTAAAGAAAAAAAAATTGAAAACTGTATCCCAGACCAAAAAAACAAACCCAAAACAAAACCTTCTCTTATATAAACTCTTGTAGTAACAGATGAGTTCGTAAGAAAAGTCTCCAAATTTTGCATTCCCAAATTACTACAAAACATGTCACAGAAATGATAAAGGCCTACAAATAGCACAGATCTTAAATATTACTTGTGTGGTGAAAGATCCCATGTAGTCTAATTAACAAAGCATCCAATGTATTTCTAATATTAGTTGGTGGCTACCTTTTACCACCTCTCCCCAGTGTAATTCTATATAAATGTGAGATAACTTAACTTGTACTACTCCAGTCTTCAGTTGCTTCACTAGGCCTAATGCTTTAAACCACTATGATTTTTTATAAGTATTCTGTAATGTCAGCAATGAGATATCGTATAGGGCTCATCATGTAACATTCTTTCTGTATTGGGATTTCAAAATTAAGAGAATTTTGTCTTTTTCTATACAGAGTATTAACAAAAGCCTGATATGATAATGGTTCCAGAGGACCCATGTGTAGCACGTCGGGGTCCCACAGGTGGCCGTGACACCCCCTGGTGGCTCCATGACCATTCCCCACTCCACCCCTATTAGCACCTTCCTGTATCGCCTGCGACACCTTGATGGACTAATGATAAATTGGGAAGCTGCCCATGGACCTTTGGGTAGCCCCAGGTCTACTGACCCCCACTAGGGTCCCCGGCACCCTACTAGTCCTCACTGATCCTCAGCCCTTCACTGGGCTTCTGTAGTCCCAGGCCCTTTGCTGGGCCTCTGCAGTCCCTGTGCCTGGCAGGGCACCCAGAGCCTTAAGGGCTAATTGTGTGGCTCCAAATCCTCCCCTACACCATACCCCATGCCTTGTAGGCGTTACTGTACTGTCATTCCCTCTGTCGGGGCTTCAGCCTTTTCAGCCTCCACCCCATTACTCTCGCAAGACCTTCTAACCTGGGCCCACTGAATCAGACCCGGCTCTGAGGCACCAGCTTGTGCTTGTCCTTTTGGGTAACTGGGCCCCTGTCTGCCAGGGCCCAGGCCTGTGTGTATTTGCACCCCTCTGGCACCGGGCTCCAGTCTCACTGCTACCAGGCACTCTGCCCACTCCGGGCTCAGTAACTAATTGAGCCTCGAGCCTGCCCATGGTAGGGCTCAAGGCTAATGCATGTCACTCAGGCACTAATGGGACCTCCTTAACCGTCCCTTACAACCCCACCCCAAACCTCCAGTATAAACATAAGCACAAGCCCCGAGGCTATATAACATAATAATAACAATGCAAACAGCACTCTGCCCCTTTAAGAGGGCAAACCTTTACCCCTAGTATAGTGTGCCTCCCTGCTGGGGTACCTTGTGAGGTCCCAGGGCCTCACTAGCTCTGTAGGGAGCAAAGCAGACAGTCAAGCATCCCTGGGTGACTCTCCTGGGCAAGAGCTCCTTCCCCTGGCAGCTACCAGGGAGGGACTCCCCTGTCTGCCCCAACGTTTGGACTTGTATGCTCCCAGGGCCTTGACCACTTACAGGTGTCTGCTAATTGCTTCATTTGCACTACTGCCCTGACAACTGGCAGCTGCCTGCCATGCAGTGCTCCCTAGCTGGGCTGACTTTATCTTAAGGTAGAAGTAAAATTACAGTTTAAAGAAACTTTGTTTGGGACACCAGCCAAACTACACCCATGTACAACACGAATATAATTGCATTACAACAAAAAAGTACTTAGAGAAAGATCACAAGGAAAAGATTTCTGCATTTTCTTTTTAAAAGCTAGCAATCCTGACTGATTTTCTTTTTCAGAAATAACTACTGCACACTGAGAACACAGAGCCTTCAAAATAAGTTTTAAAAACTAGTTTCAGAGTTTGCTTTCCAAAACAAAAACATTTTTAGTAAAACCACTGGGGGGGGGGGGAAAGAGGAAAAACTTCTTTGAGATTTTTCAGAATTGCTAATTAATACACACTTCCTCTTCTTGTGAACTTAGATTAAGGCATTTCAAAGAAACACAAAGAAATATACTACAAAGTGAGTAAGTTTAACTTTCATTCTAGAATGAACTTTGGCACCACAAACTGCACACGCACATGCATCTGGATGTGCCCCAGAAGGTGAAAGGCTTGCGTTAAATCAGAGGACAGTTTCTAAATAGAGCACAAAAGTGGCACGTTAATAGAAGAACTTGTATGAATGGGTGTGAGGCTCCTAGGTTCTCACACCCAATTTTCTTTTCCCAACATATACAAATTTATTTCAATAAATTTTTTATAAACAAGGCCACCAGAGAACAGTGTGGCTGTGATAAAACGCCTCCTTAATTTCTATTGAAATGGATTTGGATAGTTTTTTTGGGATTTTCTTTTTATGTTTGGGGCTGCTCCCAAAGTTGTGGACACTACACAAAATATAACTGTAATGAGCAAACAAATAGAGACCACGTGTTCAAGTACATCACAAAAATAAACTTGTCCCAATAAGAAAAATTTGGAGTCTCAAAATAACTTCTCTCATGTTTATTAAAAGCTGAAACAGCACCACTGCTTTTCACCACTGTATTTCATTCAGTTGCTAATCAAGGAGAGTGTTTAAGATGAGAGGGCTACAATTCCACATTCAGGACATTTGACCTATTTCGCATGAGTGTTATTCACAGATAAATTTCCCTCTCATTATAAAAATCATAAAGCAAATCTTGCTTGTTTTTAGAAGGCTTGGTTGTCTTATATGGGTAAATACTGAATTTATAGCAACCACAAAGTTAAAGTACATAAATCTTTGCTGAAGCAGACCTGCCTACAAAAGACTTGGAAGCTCACCAGAATACGTTTGGAAATGTTTCTTGCAACTTTACTATACTATAATACAATTTGAAATAAATACAATCACAAGATATGAACACTTTATGAAACGTACTTTTGCACAATGCTTTGCAAGTATATAATACAACGGAAGGGTCTGGAGGAACAAATTACTGTACATCCTGTACAATCTGAACTTCCAAAGTGTAAGATGACAAGCTGAGGGCATAGTGGCACCCTTAAATTTGAATCCCCTTGCTATTTTTAGATTGCAAATGGCCCACTCAAATCACATACATATGGTTGTCTATAGTCAATGCATAATTATCTTAGTTCAGTATTACTGTCTTGTAACTGGATAACCAAAGCAAGGCAAGGATTTTTTGCTAATATCTTTTATTGGACCAACTGTATAGCTGGAAGAAATGTTAGACAAGCAACCTGTGCCAGACAGACAAGTTGTCTAGCACAGATTGCCCTAACATCTCTCCCAACTACACAGTTGGTCTAATAAAAGATATCACCAAAAATTCCTTGGTTCTTGTATATTTCTGGGATAATCACAGCTACAGCACCTTGTTTGAAGAGCAAGGAGTGTATATGAATTTTTGATATCACAGGGTAAACAGCAGCTGCAAGATACAAGATATGAAAAGTAAGGCACCCAGTCCCAGGGATAGATTCTCTGCCAAATCCAAGTAGAGATCCATACATGAAATCTTGGGAAATTATGCCCCAGTGGACCACTGGTCACTGTACCATGACAGCCTCTTTGGGTTAAGGCACTGAACTGGTATCAGGACATTCAAGTTCTGTTTTCAGGTCGCACAGGCTTCCTGTGAGACCTAGCAATTCATTTACTCTCTCTGTATCTTGATTCTTCTTTTCAAAATGGGCATGGTATTTACTAGGGTGGGTGGGAAACAGGCCATATTCAATTCAGATTCGGCCCAAATGGGGGATAGACATTTGATTCGTTGATTCAGATCACTGTCCCTGATTAGATTCGGCCAAATCCAAATCTGAAGATTCAACTGAGAATCAGCGATTTGGCCATAGACACAGTTTTAAATGTTTTTTCTACATCCCTCGAGGTACCAGGTGTGGCTTGTGAACACTGCAATGCTGGGGTGGATAGAGAGTCCCACAGGAGTGAGAGGGGTCCCCCGCGTGCTTGGCGGTACTTTTGGTCCACTTCCAGGTCTGCTGGAGAGCACGTAGAGGGGCCCCCCACATCCCCCGGCTTGGCAATCAGCTGCAGGGAAACACTGGCTGCTCCCCAGACCCAGGAGGCACCAGTCGTTGAGCCGGGGGAAGGGGGTGGGCCCTGGGCGCTCCCTGGTGGACCTGGAAATGGAATGGAGGTGCTTCTGGTCCACTTCTGGGTCTGCTGCCAAGCGTGCTGGGAAGCCCCCTGCGCTCATGGGACGCTCCACCTGCCCCAGCATCTCAGCATTCATAAGCCACCTACTACCTTGAGGTATGTAGAAGGTATGTAAAGCTGTGTCTATGTCTGAATCTCTCTGAATCAATTCGAAGGGTTCCAATTCTATTCAGAGAGATTAAAGGGTCTCCTGATTTGATTCGGATTCTGAGATTTGGCTACTGAATTGGGCCAAATCTCTGTCGAACTGAATCAGGGACCAAAGCTTTGCACAACCCTAGTATTTACCTAACTCTGTATGAGTTTAACAAGTACGATGGGGAGGAACGTTAGCAAGAAATACGCATTTTGAAAGTACCCATTTGATTTTAGGGTGAAAGTGAGAAGAATAAAATTCCCAGGGTGCCATAGTTACCTCATCTTCACTGCTGTCTTCAGGAAGCCAAATGTGGATAATGTGTAGACCAATCTGCCAAAAGAACGAAATTCTATAAATACTAACACGGTCAAACAGCTCACAATTAAAAGTAATCACTCCCTAAATCTCACTGTCACTGAAGTAACCCAAGACATAATTAAGTTGGGGATTCATTACATGGCATGCATGTATGGATATTCTCCCAAATTAGGCTTAGTTGTTTGGCCTCTAATTGTAGCTAGTGCGAAACTGTGTTAAGTTTTATTGTTCTCCTCTCTGTATATATTATAGCAATTTATATAAATGTAAGGCATGCTTAACTTGAACAGCCCACAATTGTTCATATTTAGAGTCAACGGCTAAGAATTAGCATTGACTTGGTTTATGTAAGCCAGAGTCTGGCCAGACAATGACATGGAATCAGAGAAAATTAGGGATGGAATGGACCTCAAGAAGTCATCTAGTCCAGTGGTTCTCAACCTTTTTTGGTATCAGGACCCATTTTATACCAGGACCCACTTGTAAACATTGGTGGCCAGTCCCAACCCAGTGCCCCTCATTCCTGATCTGCTGTCCCCTACCCCCAGGCCCCAGCCCCTC